CCCCCAATCTGGCCCCTTGCTTAGGAAGAAGTGCTTCTCATTGGTCAGCGTGGTCAGAAGTGCTTCTCATTGGTCAGCGTGGTCAGAAGTGCTTCTCATTGGTCAGCATGGTCAGAAGCACTTTTTATTGGTCAGCGCGGTCAGGTGACCGAAGTATAAATACAGGTCCTAGTGGGACTGTCACTATAAACAAGCTACTAACATGCGTCAACAATACTATAAGGCCCAACAACACTTTTGAGATTGGCGCCGTCCCACACATTGCTCGATGAGACTCGTGTGAACAGCTGCCCGCGGGAAGGGCTATACAAAGCAATGACCGCTAACATTCACAGCCATTCTCATGTAATTGGACATGCATACCTCTAAACAGTGTAACATTATCCTTGCGTGCTTGAAGCAATGCATGCTGGGATATGTAGTCTTGAGAAATCGATTTGTGTCACATCAATCAGCAGAATAGAGACACAAAGCACACTGGGAATTCAGGAAGTTGATGGAAGTGATGGGCAGATGGAAGGCAGCACTCCCTACATATAAGGGATTTTTTCATGTAAGCTTTGATTGTATTATCAGTAACAACTCCGGTATGTATTCCTATTACAATGCTGATGTTATAACAGGAGAGGAGATGCTGGGACTTTACAGCTCCTTTAAAGTGAGAGATGGATTTATTTTTTTTAACCTGTGCCTGTAATCCCGAGTTCTTCCATTGCAACATTTATATTGTAGCAAACTTCTAACACCTCAGGGGTGGGCAACTCTGGTCTTTCAGCTGCTGTGGAACTACAAGTCCCATAAGGCAAAATGATAGGTACAGTCATGACCCCCAGAGACAGAGGCATGTCAGGATTTGTAGTTAAAGTACAGCTGGTGGTCCGGAATTGCCCACCCCTGCCCTACGTGGTCCATTTTGGTTCAGTCCAATAATGTGTCCATTGGGACTTGCTTTCAGTTCCTTTTTAACATGAAATGTATTTATTTTCAGAACAATATGATCCCAGCTGGATTGACCTGGGAAGAGATGCTGCACCCACTGTACCAAAAATACAAAAACTACATCACATGGGGAGATCAGGACTTGCTAAACATTATTTTCTCCTTCAACCCAGGTATGAGTTGTCTATGAAAATCATTTTACAAAGTCTGTAAGAAATCAATCTCAGATGTTAGCAGTCTTGCTGGGACAGATAAAGGGTAATAGAAGGGTTAAATTCTCTTTTGACGGTTCTTTTCACTGTTGGCTGCACGTACAGGGCCGGATTAAAATAGGGGTGGAGCTCCTGCTCCAGGCCCACCCCTGCAAATAGGCCCGACTGACCCGACCCGAATTGCGGCCGGCCCAAGGGCCCTCTGATATGCCTGAGCAGAGAGCCGCATCTGCTGCAGCCGCCAGTCTCACCAACTGCCTGAGAGCCCGCACGGAGCGCCTGAAAGCCCGCACGGACCCCTTGAGAGCCCGCACTGACCGCCTGAGAGCCTGAACAGTCTTCTTTCTAAGATTTGTAGTCCCTCTACAGCTTGGAGTCAGTGGCAGATCCACCATGGTCAAACCGGGCCCTGGCGCTCCACCACTGATTCCAAGCTGTAGAGAGACTTCAAATCACAGCCCAGACAGGGGGAAGAGGGTGTTATATGAAAGAACGAACACTGTGCATGTGCATGCTTATTCCTGTGTTTGCCAAATATGTAAGCTAGTCCATGAACACGCTCATCTAAGTAAATGTTAGGGAATCTATATGTAGAAAGACCCGTGTCTGTGAACAACATTTACATGTAATGGGAATGGATAAGCCAAACACAGTCCTCAGAGGACAGCAAGAGAAAGGGAAGATAAAAAGGTTAGATGGGCAGACTTGCTTGACTTGTTTGCATATAAAGTGTTTTACTCTCTCACTTGATCTCTTAATTTCGACTAAGCAGATAATTATACATTTAAAATGATACTGACGATTTTACTACCTTCACAGTCACAAACCTATAAAACAAATGTATAAGCAGAGGTTATCACATGTCATATAATAGGTAGGTCCAGAGATACTGGCATCCCATATACCGTAGCAGATATTGGTTTAAAATTCAACTTGAAATTTCCTGTTTCATATGTCTCTTATGTCTGTGTAAGTAGCCATACATATTTTTTATTCCTCCACTCAATATTCCTTTCTGTTCCAGAGAACCTGTATGTATTCCCATGCCAGTGGAATTACAGGCCGGACCACTGCATGTATGGCAGCAATTGTAAGTCGGCAGAAGCAGACGGTGTATCCATTCTCCATGGCAATCGAGGGGTGTACCACGATGACAAGCAGCCAGCGTTCAAAGCCTTCTATGAAGTGTTGCGTGATGTGAGTATTGCTGTAACCGTCTCCCACCAGTGAATGTGCTGCCTGTGGCAACCAATGAGATTCCGGCTTTGGGTCATAGCTCCAATTATTTTTCTTCTGTTCTTTATCAATTATAAATTGAACATTTTTAATTGGGTGGAATAAGAATTATTCACACAGAATAATTATATTAATAAATGATATACTGCACAGTGGAATGCCAGCTAAACTTTTATTATGTAGGATAAAGCTGGGAGAGTCGAGAACCTTTTTTTTAGGTTTTTCTAGCCGTCTGTATCACCCTTGGATAGATTTTTCCCTTATTTCCTGTCCTTGTAACCATGTAGGAAGTGACAGAAATCTTTCTAATATGAACGTTTGTAATACCTAAGAGCAGGGGCGTAACTAGAAATCACAGGGCCCCATAGCAAAATGTTGTATGGGGCCTTGTGATTTATAGTTACGCCCCTTGCAGAGCCCACCTGATATGCCACACATCCCACCTGAGAGTGACCATAGACTCTCTATGGTGGGCTGGTAACACCCCTACAAACCTCTTACCTGCCGACGCCGGGCCCCGCCTCCTCTGCCGACGCCGGGCCCCGCCTCCTCTGCCGACGCCACAGCATCAGGGGGATGTCCTGGCCGGGCCCCATAGCGGCCGCCTGGGTCGCTACGGCGATTGTTACGCCACTGCCTAAGAGGCAATCTAATTCTTTTCTGCTTTGCTTAAAGAAGAACTCCGGGAATTCAAAAAATCATAGCCTTACAGCAGTGCTACCCCCGGACTGCGAGGGTTACATGCTTGTTTTGTCTAGGGCAGTGGTGGCGAACCTTGGCACTCCAGCTGTTTTGGAACTACAAGTCCCATAAGGCATTGCAAGGCTCTGACAGCCACAGACATAACTCCCAGAGGCAGATGCATGTTGGGATTTGTAGCTTTGGCACAGCTGGAGTGCCAAGGTTCGCCACCACTAGTCTAGGGGGTTCAAATAAAGCCGGTATACTTACCCAATCCTTGGTCCCATGAGCTGCTGGACTGGTCCCTGCAGCCTCTTCTCCCCCTGGGCTGTGGCAGTCTAAGCCCCACTGATTTGATCATGTCTAATGCAGGTCCATTGATTTGCATTAGGCGGGAGGACGCCGAGGGACATTCCATAGCCGGAGCAGAGTGGGAGAGATGTGCATGCCGACTGCCCTTGGACAGGTGAGCATATCTTCTTTATTTGAGTTCCCTACACAAAACCAGCACTTAACCCTTGCAATGTGGGGGTAGCCCTAAATTTCTGGAGTTTTTCTTGGGAACAAAAACAACCTGTTTTTGCTTTTTGTGGGTCTTTTGAAAAATTCTGTTCACTTCCTGTCCTGGTGAGCTATAAAGAAACTGAGGGGGAATTTTGGCACATGGAGACACAGGCAGCAATAAACACATTGCAGCTTTACCTGCTCTTTTCTGCTCTTCAAATGTGGTGAGTTCATTTTGAAGTAAACCTGCCATGAAAGAAGCATAGTGGCTGCCATTGCCGACTTCTTTGTCCTAAAATTGAACTCTGGAATCAGCAAATATTGTCTAAAGTGCAAGAGTCATGTGTATGATTCCTTGACTCGTGGTGAGCTTTGTGTATTTGCTCCTGATTTGTGCAGTATTCTAGTGTGACACTTGGAGCTTCCTGTAATAAAGACCGGTTACTGCTCATCTCTATCCTTATGCAGGATGACTGGTCTTGTCTCCGCCCCTCCTGCAATAAAGACCGGTCACTGCTGCTCTCTCTCCTTATGCAGGATGACTGGTCTTGTCTCCGCCCCTCCTGCAATAAAGACCGGTCACTACTGCTCTCTCTCCTTGTACAGGGTGACTGGTCTTGTCTCCACCACCTCCTGCAATAAAGACCGGTTACTGCTCATCTCTCGCCTTGTGCAGGGTCACTGGTCTTGTCTCTGCCCCTCCTGTAATAAAGACCGCTCACTGCTACTCTCTTTCCTTGTGCAGGTGACTGGTCTTGTCTACACCCCTTCCTGTAATAAAGACCGGTCTTGTCTCCACCCCTTATAGTTTTCTGCAGGCAGCCTGTAGTAGGTGGAGCCTGCTGAGCCCCTCCCACAGCTATGCTCTCTGCACAGGCTATGTACAGCCTAGTGTTGATATCAAAGGCATGGTGTGTGCATAAAATGCATTTATATCCTTTTGTCAAGAGAGGAATCTTTAATATTTCATTGAAATGAAAGCTTTTGTGCTCAGATTTCTGACAGGAGGCATCACAGAGAAAGGAACTGAAAAGGTCATATTAACTTCTGTACAGAGCTGGTTAAGGGAACAGATAAGCAGATGGTAATCATTAACTCCCAGCCGCAGGGACAGTTGTTGTGAAAACAGCAGGTATACATTTTGTGCTTCATAAACAGTAACTAGCAAAATACTGAGAGTTAAAGCCTCTGGGATCCACTATTCTATAGACAAAGGGTAGGCAAACTCAGGGCCTCCAGCTATTGTGGAACTACAAGTCCAATGAGGCATTGCAAGAATCGCAACCACAGGCATGCCTCCCAGATGCATGATGGGATTAGTGGTTTCACTAGAATGCTGGAGTTTGCCTATCCCTACTATAGAGGAATCAAAGACCTTTCATTCCTCTGAGCTAGATTTTGATTCCATCTACCAGAGCTGTAGCTAGCTCCTTTTGCGCCCGAGGCAAGAAAAAAAAAAAAAACATCCACCCCCAATGGGCATATGACATCACCCAGTGCCGTACATGTGCGGCATCATGTGCCCTGCCTCCAGGATATTTTTAAAATTCATTATTATTATTTTTATTTAAAAAATGTTTTACAGAGTCCTCGATCTCTTTTTCTGCAGACTCTGTTCTAAATGAATGGAAAGTACAGAGGCTTCCCACTCATTCAGAAAATATTTACTATCGAGCAGTTTCTGAATGGGGAGGAGCCTCTGTACTGAGTGCTACTCCCCATTGAGAAACTCATGAATGAACAGGTAGTGATGTAAAGCACTTCCTGTTCATTCATAACTGGGGACACACAGTACTATGTGTCCCCAGTTATTTACAAACACTGGAGTGATCAGACGATCACTCCAGTGTTTGCTCTGCACACAGAGGATCGGTACATATCACTGATATATACCGATCCTCTGCCGCTTGGCCACGCACAAAGGGGTGCTCAGCCTGCAGCTTCTCCTCTGGATACCCAATGCTCTCCCCCATCTGTATGCAGTGGGGATCCGAGGAGAAGTGAAGGAAGCGCTGAAGTCGGCAGAGGGGAGAGGAGGGAGTAGGGTTACCACCTGTCCGGTTTTCAACAGTACGGTTTTGACTCCATGATGCTGGCTGCACCCCCCCCTGCACCTGAGGCGAGAGCCTCCGTTGCCTCGCCCTTGCTTCGGCCCTGCAATCTACTATCATAGTAGTTCCATTTGTGTTTTTATTGGCATTCATTGTGCCCTATTATGTTATTTATGGTGTCCTCGTCCTTGCTCCTAACCTTCCTTCTCTTCCCATGCAGTACCCATTTGATGGAAACCTCTACCAGGAAATGTACTATCCGCTCCAGTCCAAATTCCTAGAGAGCGTCCACACTCTGTGCGGCCGAATCCCCCAGGTGTTCCTCAAGCAGATTGAGATGACGATGAAGAGAGTATACGAGAGACGAGTGATGGTCTACGCCGGGGCGCACGGGAGGGGATGAGGACTCTGCAGAGGATGGATAGCTAGAACATTTTCTGGATGGAATCTGCAAACCAGCAAAAAAAATAAATTCAACATTATTTAAATTAAAGTTCATCATGTACAAGGTTTATATTGGTGGATGCGATGGAAAAAAACCAAACTATGCAACGTAACCAGCGCCATTTTGGATTACAATATTCAGACGTTTCAATGGACCAATGTGAAGATGTCAGGTGGAGTGACCTCAAGACTGGGCAGGTCGATTCTGCATTTAGTATACCAAAAAAATATAAACTGTCTGACTGAATTGTATTCATAATAATTTTACATTGTTTTATAACACGGAAAGGAAATATTTCTTTGTAAGAGATGTGATTTTTTTTTTTTATAACTTGGCTCTTACTGTGTCCTTCAAAACTGTATTATGCTTAAATGCTGAGAGTGCTTCTGGTCCTGATTGTATGGTAGTTGACCCCTGTGTCTTATAGATGAGAACCGTCGGTACAAGTTGCATAGATCTTATGCGGCAAGTGCTGTTCCAGCATCAAATGCTGCAAATTACCAATGGAGGGCCGCCTGACTGTACAGGGGATATTAAAGGAATGGATGAAAAGGCTGCTGGAGACCATCATTCTTCTCTAAAAGGCTGTTTATCTGAAGGACTGGGTTTTGCCTGCTTGGGTTGGGAGGGGTTTTAGGGCATATAGCAGTCGGACCTTTTGCATCTAATATACATTGCCTGGGCCAAAAAAAAAAAAAATCACACACTTTATTGGACCGCCTTTAGCTTTGATTACAGCACGCATGCGCCGTGACATGGTTTTGATAAGCTTATGCAATGTTGCAACATTTATTTCCATCCAGAGTTGTATTAATATGTCACCAAGATCTTGTAGTGATGATGGGAGAGTCGGACCTCTGCGTCTTCTCCAGCCCATCCCAAAGATTCCCAACAGGGATAAGGTCTGGACTCTGTGGTGGCCAATCCATGTGTGACAATGATGTCTCCTGCTCCCTGAACCACTCTCTGAGCCAAATTAATCCTGGCATTGTCATCTTGGAATATGCCCAATGTGCCATCAGGGAAGAAAAATCCATTGATAGTCATTCCTGGTCATTCAGTATATTCAGGGAGGCAGCTGACCTCATTTTTTGGGGACATAACGGTACTGGACCTAAACCTGACCAACTGAAGCAGTCTCAGATCAGAACACTTATCCAATGGAAGGCTCTGACTCATTTGCTTACCTTCAGTGGTGTCACAAGGCCGGTGCGGCCCGCACCCGGTTGACATAATTGGAGGGGTGACAACAAAATGACTGGCAGTCATTTTGGTGTCACCCACACTGAAAAGTTGGGCACTCAGTCATGGATGGAGAGCCCGAGAGTTGCAGGAGAGAGGAGTGAACCTGGCGACATACCTTATCCCGTCAGGTGAACGTCCCCTCCTCTCTCTGCTGGCGTCCATCACCAAGACGGCGCCTCGCACCTCTGTATTGCAGGCGGCGCCTCGCTCCTCTGTATTGCAGGCGGCTCCTCGCTCCTCTGTATTGCAGGCGGCGCCTCGCTCCTCTGTATTGCAGGCGGCGCCTCGCTCCTCTGTATTGCAGGCGGTGTGTCACTTCAGTCTAGCGTTCTGCTGAGATATGGGCTGGCTCTCTGATGTGTGTGTGTGCAATATAGTACATTCGAGCTACAGATGAGCTACATTTCACAGTGCTGGCAGGGGGAGGACTGACATCTGTAAACAGAGTTTTATAAGAGTGCACAGTGCTGCTAAACAAACACTGGGACCATACTGACAGGAAGAGAGAGCAGAGTGAGCAGAGAGCCAGTCTCATCAGTCTGCTGCTCCTCTTCAGTGTTTTGCTTCTCATCACGGTCTGGGTTCAACAGGCCAGGGCTAGGCTAGTGACCAAGCTGTCTTATTTAACTGCAGTGGAGAACCAAGTGTACTGTGCAGCAGGGGCGCCTGGACCACAAGTCTGGCAGAACAGAATAACAAGCCCTTTGTTGCATGATACAAATGACATATATACTATACCTATGTACTTCCCTGCCTGGAGTTCCTCTTTATAGAGAAAACACAGACTTGGGGCGTGTGATGGAGCCTCTGCCACCAGAGCGGAGTGTCAAGCTGCTATTTCCCTCGTACAGTTTCATTACTGCCTACGGTCTTCAGTTTTTCCCAGCGTGCGATAATTGATGGTGCTGAGACTGCTGCAGGAAATCCAATACATTTTCATTTAACCAACTCCGTGTAAAGCTGATCAACTGCATTGTGCCG